TTTGCCTGCAACTAAGAATCCTGCTTGATACATTCTCAAGTGCAATGTCTCTCAAAGTACCGTTTGGAAACTTAATGTATCGAAATCACCTGGGCCATATCCTACCAATTCATGAGATTAAAACTGATGGATTCAGAATCCTCGTGGGTGAGTCCCAACAATCTGCATTTCAAACAAGTCTCGGGTTTATAAGATTTTAGGTACAGTAAAATTTAAGAACCACTGTCCTAATGTTTCCAACATTTTAAGTTATTTGCTCTGGTTAGGCTCTCTGTTGAGTAGCTCTTAGAAGAAATAATTCTGCTCTTTTTACAAGGCCCTAATCAATGTCTGACAGTATTTTTTGTTCCCTCTCTCCCCACTCCATGTTCCCCATAACCCTTTGTTTTGTCTCTTTAACTCTTTTAATAGTTTTTTTTTTTTTTTTTTTTCTGGTTTTTCTTCTCACTGAGAAGCTGTAATTCCCCACTTGGGATTGCCTACATTCAGTGGTGCTTGGAATTGTTAACTAGAATTTTAATCGGCACTGTGACTGTGGCTCTCTTCAGTTGTTTCTTTCTTGGACATTTTTGTAATCTGTAGGTTTAGAGCTGAATGTTTACTCCAGGGATCACCGGGGGCAGTTAAGGGGAAAGACTGGAACAGAGAGTGACTTTCCTTGAAGGGATTCAGGCCAGAAAATAGCATGGAGGGGTTGATTGATCTACTTCTGAGATTTCTAGTCACAGAATGTTACAACTTGAGAGAATGTAGCTTAACCCCTTGTTTCCTAAGTGAAAAACTGAGAAGATACATGTCCAAAGTCACCTAAGTGATTAATGGGATATAAAGGACAAAATAAATTTAGAAGTAGAAAGTGATGCAGAGTTTGACCTAAACTAGCATAAAAAGGAAGGGGATTTATATTTATTGAGTTAGTGTTTGAACTTGAGTACATTCATTTAATATCTCTGAGCCTCAGTTTTCTCAACTTCAAGATAAAGATTCTAGTAGTAACTAAAATTTATGAAATATTGACTATATGCTAGGGACTATTAAAAGGACTTCATATGCTAACTCATTAAATCCTTACCACAACCATAGGGATTACTACTTCTCTCGCTTTTCAGATGCGTGGAAATACC